GTCCCCCCCCCGGCTGTTTACAGCCAGCCAGACACACTTTCATTTTCCACCCCAGCGATATTAATAGTGCTGTGTATTTTGGTGCAAATCACATCCAAACAGCCCTCGTTGTGGCAGTAACCCAGGGAAGAGGGAACAGGATGGAGAGCCAAGCCAGATGGACAGTGCAAAGGCAGGAGGCCAGGGCAGCGCTCCCCGAGGCACAGCTCTCTGCTGAGAGGCTGCCCAGTAGATAGCTCTGCTGTATTCAACCACAGGGTATCAGTGCTGAACCCCACCACAAATCCCTGGTCTTAAGTTGCTGTGGGGAGGTGGAGAGGAACAGCAGCCTGTGCCTTCCTGAAGCCCTTCAGTCCTTGAAAGGATTATACCCAACAATGATGCCTGACAACATGGTCTTTGGATCACCTTTAAATGAAAGCCTGGACTGTGGGTGGAGTCCACTGCACAACCAGCCATCTGCAATGAGCAGCCAGGCCATGGGAAGCTGCTGTCAGTTCTTGCCTTCAAACCATTCCTCAAACTCTCCCCCTCCTCAGGATGTAACCTGGGTCTTGCAGCCAGACAGAACCCCTGGGGCTGAGCACCGGGGCCAGAGATGCTGGCCACCCTCAGCAGTGCACAGGGACCACAAAATGGATCCTAGGGAACCACAGCAGTGTGCTCAGCCTCATCGCCAGCACAAGCAGGAACCCAAATCCAGCAGCACAGTCACCTGGAAGCAGAAACATCAGTGGTGAAGGAAGTCAAGCAGTACAGCAAAGGGGTCAATTTTACTTGTGTTTTTGAAAAGATGACCTGTGATGAGAAGCACCTATTTTAAGTAAAAGAAATCCAGGTGGAAGATGAACACGCAGCCTTCCCCCAAGAAGGCACAAGAACATGAGAGCTCAGGAAGCTCTCATGACACACATTCAGGACTTCTTACAAAGCCTGGAAGCAAAGACAGGGAAGAAAACTCAGCTCTCCCTTACCTGCTCTTTGTAACTTTGGGAAAAAGAAGAAAAGCCTGTTAAAAACCTGCCTTTCAGCTCCAGCCCACCTCAGGGATGGAGAGGTCTCAGAGGGAGCCTAAGGAACCCCACAAGGCCACTTAATTACCAGAGGAGAGTCCACCCCAACCAAGCATGTGCTGAGGCAGAGACTGAGCTTCCAGACATATCAGGACAAAACACAGCAGAGAGGAGACTGTCACAATTCCTCCCACCACTATCACTGGCTCCAACTCACCTCTCTCCCCTGTGAGATTTGCTGTGTTCTCCACAATCTCTTTCTGCAGCTGAGCCAGCCTAGAGGGTCTCTGATGCCAAACTCTCCACTCTGACCCAAGCCCCTTCGCTTCCTGGGACAGGTAGGAAAAATGTTTCCAGTCTTGTCCCTCACATTTGATACATTCCACATCTTTACTCCTATAATCCTATCACTTTTTCCTCTACCCAATCCTTCATCTGGTTTCCTTCTACACGTAGCTTCACACCTCATTCCTCCAGTCCTGCACATCTGTAGCTTTGCTTAGCTATGCCCCAGCTCTCCATATACTCACATTCCTCCTTAAAACATCTTTTCTTTACAGCATTTCAGCAGCAACCCACCCCTCCTTTTCATCCTCTGACAAAACCAGAGCAAACTGCATCATTATGAGACCAGACATCAACCCAACCAGCACATGGGCTGGTCTGATCAGAAACTTATTATTAAGTTCTATGACGTGAAGTGACAACTGCATACCACAAGTGCTTGTTAAACAAATCAACCAACACCAATGAGAGCAGAAAACTTACTATTTTATAACATATGCTCTAGATACTAGATAGACAAATCCACTTGCTACCCCAAAGGACACAGCCCACACCAGGCCTACTAGAGAGGCCATCTCTGGCAACAGGCAAGACTCACCTGTATTAGTCACATCACACCTACGAAAACACAAGCTTCTAGGTGAATTCTTCTTTATTTTTATTTCCCTTCCCAGCTGCAGTACTATCTTCTATCTGTGCCCCAGCTCTCTTGTGCCTGTCCAAGACAGTTGGAAGAGAAGAGCTCCTGGTTTTCCCTGCCATGCAGGGAAGGCTGAAGACAATATGTGATTCCTTTCTAGCAGGAGAGGATGAAGGGGTAGAGGTCACCACCTCTCCACTATTTTATGAGGACAGGACCTCACTCATAAAACCAAATCTCGACCTTCTTATGCACTCCAGATCAGGAAGATGTAAGGACCGATGCACCTCTACCAACAGCATCCTCACACTCTGGAGTGAGCAGAAACCCCCTGAAAACTGAGGGCACAGTGACCAACCTGCCGCCTCTTGTGTAACTCAAGTGAGCTTCACCCCTCGAGGTAACGTGGCAAGTGGGCACACAAGCAGGCACTGGCTAATGCTGACGTTGGCAATGAGTCACCTCAGAGCTGCATTGGCTTCTTCCCGTGTGAAAAAAATACCCCTAATGAAGAGCAACACTCAGGCTGCACACAAGACAGTCTGAATAATGGTCATCAGTCCTCACACAGACCTCGTTCTGGCTCC